GCAGGAGGGCCCATAGAGATGGCTCCTGAACTTGGGGGTGGGGGACAGGTTTTGAAGGCAGAGAGACAGGGAGCCTGAGGGAGCCTCTACCACTTTGTACCGCGTGAAATTGGGCCAGTTAACGTCTCCAAAGCTCTCCCTCCAAACGGGAGACCAAGATGGCGCCTTCCTTACAGAATGTTCGCGAAGATTAAATGACATACTGCACAAAAGGCGACTCGTGGAGTGGAGCACGTGTGAAGGTTCGCTTCACCTCCGTCCCTGCTTCCTTTTTTCTCCTCAGCACTTACTAACCCGCTGGCAACGTGCTAGTTTAGCTCACTTCCTGCCTCGTCTGCCCCAACAGAGCGTCGGCCGTGAGGGCAGGGATGGGTCTCGTTCGCTGCTGTATTCCCAGCTCCTCGAACAGGGGTTGGTGCATAGTATGTGCCCAATAAATATCTGTTGAATGAATGGCTCGTAAGCAGACAGGTTAGGACAGAGGGGTACTGAGACTGTATCTAACAGTGCCTGTGTTGCCAAACTGCAGGGGGAAATGGCAGGAAAAATCTCTCTGTCCTTAGTATCCTGTGTGTCACCGAGGCGCACTTTGAGTTCCTCCATGTGAAAAAGAACGCAGGAAAGTCAATTTATGAGACTTCGATGGCCCATCCGGCACGTGCCAGGCGCCGTGAGGGTCGAACCCAGGAAGGAAGGCCTTGTCGTGTTGTTCAAGGCCTTGGGCTCAGGAGGGCCTCGCGCTTGGTTAGCTCTGCTCCCACCATCTTGAAATTCTTAACCGTTTTTTAACAAAGGCCTCCACAATTTTCATTCTGTACTGGGATCCACAAATTACGCAGCCGGCTCTGCCGGTGGGGGAACATTTATGTACTTAAGTAAATACATGACCAAGCAAGTCTCAAGTCCCGAGGAAGTAGAAAGGAGAGAGAAACGCAAGTGGGGAGGAAAAGGAAGGGCCATGAATCTCTTCCTACAGAAGCTGGCCCCTGAAGGAGAGACAGGCAGGGGGCATTTGCACAGTGTCTACGATGGTGAAGAGATTCGTGGAGTTATGACATTTAATTCTGACGACAATCCTACAAGCTGCGGACGATCTGGCCCGCTGCCTAGTGAGGTGACAGATGACAGAGGTGGGAACCAAACGCAGGCCTGTCCCCTACAGCCGAAGCTCATGGACAGAGATGCAAGGGTCAGTGCAGTGGTGTTTCAGAGGACGATCATCAAAGTGGAAGTGAATCCAAGAGGTGCCAAGCCTGAAAGCGTGAACAACCGTGTGGGTGCAGACAGGAAAGGATGTGGCACTCACTGGCGTGGCAGTCGAAGCCTGCGGGCTCACTGGTGCTCCTGGCCCCTTCCCTCGAGGACCGAGCGTCCCTCAGTCGGCATCACCTTGACAAAATGCACCCACAGGCCGAGACCAGTGGGCAGAATTCTGAGATGGCCCAAGATCCCAGCCCCTGATACAGGTGCCCTGGGTGAGCCCCCCTCCTGAGCGTGGCACGACCAGGTAACAGGAGGAGACAGCTGCTCCCGTAATTAGGTTACAATCTACGGCCAAGGTGACGGGGTGGCCACTCCTCTGACTGCATTCCTTTCCGAGATTCCATAGCGGCCAATTCTCTTCGTCGGCCTCGAAGAAGCGAGCCACGGTGACCTTCCATAGCTGCAAGAACAGGAATCCTGCCAAGGACCACATAAGCTTAGACGAGGACTCATACCTCCAAGGAGACCCCTGGCCCTGGCCGACACCTTGACTACCGCACGTGAGACGCCACGCAGAGGACCCAGCTAAAGCACGTCCAGGCTCCTGACCCTGGTAACTGCGAGATGAGAACTGGGAATCGCTTTGGACTGCCAGGT